TTCTCAAGCAAATGGAAGCTTCTGCACATCGGGCACTGCAGTTGGCTCCTGCGACACGTGACGCAGACCGTGTGTCAGCAAGGCACCGGTGCCACCACCGGCTGCGGCAGGGCGAGGCCTCGCCGGTGCTTGGCCCCACTGGGCGGTGATCTCAGCGCGCCAGGTGCAACCTTCCATTTGCACTTTCGGCCCAAGGGAAAAATGAAAATATGTTCAGTAGCGATATATTTTCTTCCTAACCAAAAAGGGAGAATCAAAATATTATCAAGCAAATGGAAGCAACAATGGTCCTGATGCCAATCTCCCACATAGACTTGGGCGCCCAAGTTCCGCAGGCTCTCCGCCTCCTCCTTGGCAACAGCATGACGGTTCATGGCGGATTTCCTCGGGAAGCCTGGGCACGCAAGATCCATCCAAGCGCTGGTGTCGCCTGCATCTGCAAGTCTCTCGCAGTCTTCCAGGAACTTCTTAAGCCAGTCCTTGGTGAATCTCTGAAACTCCCGCACCCTCTGCTCCTCCTCCTCGACCCTTTGCCTCTGCTGCACTGCCTCCGCTCGGTCCCTCAGATTCCCGAAGAAGGACATGGCGCTAGGCGGCCCAGCGCGTCGAACAATGCGCTGGCGAGCCCCGATGTCTGAGCCAAAGATCACAGCTGCAGGTTCCCCCCTGTGTCAAAGGTGAGCTGCCTCCTTCTCAGGGGCCACTCTTTTCGTTGACGCGGGTTGGGTGTGGATTTCCAGAATTTGAGGCTGTCTGTTCACTTTAGCAAGTTGAGTGACAAACATCAAGCAATCACTGAGCAATGCAACTTCCCAATCACTGCCCGCACCCACTGATCTGTCAATTCCACGGCAACTAGTAATTTGCAAGAAATGCGCTGGCAACAAATTGAAGATACTGCCTGCCTCACTTCAAACTGACTCAAAGTCCTCGGGTACGGCTGTGCAGAAAGCGGGCGTGTCTTTTTGATGGTACGCCTTTTGTTGTGGTGTTCAAGGGAAACAAAGAAAAACACCACTATTTTGCGAGTCCACTAAAAAAAAGACACTACTAACATGGCACCTGTGGGAGGGTACCTGGAAGATCAGCTTCCTCTTGGAAGGAACCCTTGTCAGTGCCATGCTAGTCGGAGTGAGGGTACCCACACCGTTTTATCAGGCCTCCTCAAAAGAGATTGGACGACTGAGGCAACTTGCGCTTGCCCCCGCCCGAGACCATATGGCTTGCCCGCGCCCGCCTGGTTGCGAAGCCTTCCTTGGGCCGAGTCGAGAGAATGCATTTCCCCCGGTTTTGTAGGGAACCAAGGGAACCAGCCTTTACAGACCAAAGAACAATGGCGCAGAGCTACCTACTACAAAGGTAGCTGGGGCAACTGGCATCTGGAAAAAACGTCATATTGTTTCATGCCAGCGCGCCCGCGAGGTTTGGCTTGCTGGGAATTCAACGCGGGTGTTGGGAAATGGGACTTCCATCCCGAGAGCACCTCACCCTCCAAACCGACAAGAGGGAAGCTAGCGGGCGACCCTTGCACGCGCTCCAATTGCTGACTGCAGGACCGCCTGTGAAATGTGTGGTTTGTCATCCATTGGCTTGCCCAACGGACACTCGGTAGCTTTGGAGCAAAACACCATAGTCAACATGAAACACAGCTAAGCTAGAATTTGCATGGCTGCAAGCATTATCGAAGCCTGCATCAGAATGTATCCGTCCACACTCCCATTTTCCAAGCATAACAGGAAGGCTTCCTGCGAGTCTTTGAGCACCTGCTGAGCCGAATTCCCGCGCGAGCTCACTCGCCGCCCAGAGCTGCACCGCGCCACATGACGGCTGCGAAGCGCCGGCCCGGCCGCGGCGATCTGAAGAGCTTGCTATGAGACCAGGCAAAATCTCGACAGAAGGCGGTGGTTGCAACAAAAAACGACCCCCCCCCCAAAAAAAAAAACAACGTAGAGCAACATCCAATGTTCAACGCAGATCGCAGCTGACGTTTGTTTAGCTGAGTCAAAACACAGTTGGTCGGTGGATCTGTGTTTTGTGCGCTTGCCAATCTATGCGGGCCTTCGGGAAGGCCAAACATGGACATGGCTGTCGAAAATCACTGGGGATTCCTATCGCCAAGCCTTATGACTACTTTCGCCTCAGTTCCCTTTGTATCACAGAAAACAGTTTTAAAAACCAAAAGAAACTCCATGAATAAAGCATACAATCAGGCTTGTCTCAAAGTAGGGAAACTCTTCTTGGATGGTCTTAAAGGGAAACCAAATGGAAACCAAGCACCAACCACCTGCATGAGCTCCCCAATTCTAATTTTGAGAACTCCCTATTGACACAACTCCAATTCTATTTATCCAAACCACCTGAAATATCCGCTCCTAGAGCTCGCTCTTGGCAGCTGCAAAGCCCAGTTTGTCCACCGTGAGCTTTGCCAGGCTGCCGGCGGACAAATCCGCGCCCCGCAGCAGCTCTCGTTGGTTCTTGGACACCCAAAAGACCTCAGGGTGGGACCTGAAACCTGTTGGGTGTCATTGGGAGTGTCTTTTCTTTAGCTGGACCCCAAAAATGCTTGGTGTCCTCTTGGTTTTTGAGGTTGGACCCAAAACATGCTTGGTATCCTCTTGCTTCCCTTTGAAACCTCCCAAAAACAAGCCATATGTTTTGGGGCCGCGAACCAAACATTAGCCAAAGACCCAAGTAGGAACCTTCTTGGTATCCAACAAAGACCAGAGACCTTCTAGGGTCTGAGACTTGTTCATTTTCGGCGAAAAAACAGGAGTTGAGGGACAACAGCGCTTGGCTTCAACAGAAGCAAGGACTTCAGTTGCTGGTTTCGGCTCACAAGGTTTCAACGTGCCAGGGCTTGGTTTAGGGTCCACAGTGCTTACAGCTTCCGAATTTGATTTTGGCCAACTCAACAGCGTTCTCCAGGTTTCAGGATGTGGCATTGAGCGGTCGTTCCGGACAAATGCACGGTCAAAAAACATGTTTACACCTTGCCATGAACTCAACGGCTACGTACTTCAACACGCCATTCTCCAGCGTGAAAGGTTCTTGGATAATGCCCATTTTGGGCAACTCAAGGCCTGCGGTGCTGGCACGTCCTCCTGGGCGGAAAACCGAAATCCAGTGAGGCTCAAAACATATCAAAAAAGAAGACATACCCGTAGGGGGGCTTCTCAAGATAGTCCTGTACGGTAGGTTTCCTTTTGGTCCCCTGTAGACACCAAAACATCCTTGGCCAGCAAAAGGCGGAACTTGTTGTTCGCCTCTAATATGGTCCAAAACCAACAAGTCTCCAGTGCGAAACGAAACTCAAAAAGTGAGTCCTCTCCGATGCGAAGGGAGCTGGCGCAAAAGGCGCTGGCATCCTCGTTGCAGTCGCAGCACACAGCGCCCACTTTGGCCAGCGCGTCCATGCCGAAAGGGCCTTGCGCTCAACCGCAAGCCTAATTCAAATAAGGGGAAATGTATCCCAATCACACGTAAATCGGGTTTTCCTCATCTTCAGGAGTGGCGCTCATATTTTGGGTGCTCTTTTGGACATGTGTCAGGTAATTTGAGAAATCGAGTGAGGAATCGAAACCATCAGTCATCTTGCTTGTTTACGAGGCTTTTGAAGACACGACAATTGCAGTTACTGGCGGTAGCTCAGACACACCGTGGTGTAGCCATGACCCTCCGGGTGCATTGACCAGGATACAAAGCAATCTCTCAAGCAGATCCCCACGTTGCCCGGCACCAAGAACACATCCCAAAAACGACTTTTCAGGTGCACGTGCCAGGGGTACATAGTTTAGTTCTTCGCCAGGAAGTAGATCTGCTTCTTTGTGTTAAAGCACTTGTTTGTTGTTTGAACATCACCCTTGATATCGCTACTTGCATAAATGTTCCTGCCTTGGTACTACTGAAACAACTCTTCGCATTTGATCAACTGGGCCAAGTTCCTAAAGCACCCAAAATCCGAAATTGACCGCCCCTTGTCCCCGCCTTTGGCTGGCAGGTTTGCGGAGAACTCGTACTTCTCCGCCAGCGCTTGCAGCCGCTCCCTCTTCTTCTTGGGCTTCTTCAGAGCCTACGGCCAAGGGAGGAGCTCTTAACACCGCTGGGAAGACAGAGGCTTTGGACCATAGGTGTCCCTTTAGGGCAAATAGATGGGTTTCCCTGGTAGATGATTAAACCACCACGTAATTGTTCTACCAAAACAACCAAAAAGGGCACCTATGCTTTGGACGCGAAAACTGAACAATCCAACTGGATACATTGCCTCAGATGCTCGGTGGCATGGGAAACATGGGCATCCTTTTCTGGCTGGTTGAGTTTCAAGGGGAACCCTTTTCAAAACTGGGGCTGGTTGGGGCCCGAATCCAGAATGCACAAGCATAGAGTGTATAGCTGTGCTCACTCGATGACTCAAGCGCCGAACACCTGCCAGCACCGCTCTGGATGCTTGACCCAACAAGCAAAGGATGTGTGTCTGGAAGCTCAGCCAATAGCGTGTGTTTGTGTGTGTGTGTGTGTGCCGTACATGCTCGAAACATGTGCAGCAAGAGCATGTCGGAAACAGCATCCAAAACCTGGATTGGCCCCGGCTCGAAACAATGACCGTGGCCACAGACTTGAGCCAATCCCATCCAGGCAAGCCACTGTCCCCTGGTTATCGACTACAGTGGCTTGCCTGGAAGAACTGGACATGTGACCTTCACTTGGGACTCTCCGTGAAGCTGCGGCATTCTAAGCCGCAGCCACTGGCAGATCTAAGGGGGCCAACACTGCCAACTGCCCAAGGGAAAATCAAATTAGGCAGGGGAGTCTTTACATGTGCTGGTTGATCAATATTCCGTTCGGCCCCAAAATGACCATGGGTAACTTCTCTTTTTGGGTGGTTTCCCTACTGGTCATCCCATGGAAAGGACCTTTCGATCTCAACCTTTCTGCGTCAATACCGCGAAGCTTCCATTTGCTTAAGCCCTCCGGAAAAACAAAAAAGTCCAGTAGTGATAGGTTCCCTTTAAAACTAACAGGGGAAAACAAAAACATATGAAGTTCCATTTGCTCGCGGAAGCCCCTAGGAAAAAAAGAGAAAATATGTCCAGTACTGATAGATTCCTGTTGAAACCAGGGAAAATAAAAACATACTCTTAAACAAATCTTGCCATTTGGCCCCAGGAAAAACAGTATTTCCAATAGTGATGCATTCCTTTTAAGACCAACAAGGAACAATAACAACATATTCGTAAGCACATGGAGGACATGGGGCTGGAGATTGAGCGCCTTGCTCATGTCCGGGGGGTCGTTGCCCAAATCCGCCGCCAGGCGGTTGCCCAGCTCTTTGAAGTCCTGACCCTCCTGCCGAGCGACCGAGTGACCGATCCGGCCAGGCGGACCTGGTGCTTGGCAGCGGCATGCATGTCTTCCATTTGGTTAAGGCCCCAGGAAAACATAAACATATGTCCAGTAGTGATGAATTCCTATAAAGACCAACAAGGGAAAATAAAACATACATGCTTAAGCAAATGGAAGATGAGCTGTCCAAAGCTAGGTGAGGTGTTAAAATCCCACCTGTCAGGGAAGATAAGCTGTTGGAGATTTCTGTCGCACCTGGTTGCAACAGGTTTTTAAACGAGTGAACAACATGTACGCGCTCAAGCCTCGTTGATTCACGCTGGTTGGACAATCCTCTTCGCTGAATATCCCACTACACTGCTACCCTCATTTGTCTCACACACCCGCACAAGACCAAACCACGCAATGGCCAACACAGAGCAAAAACGAGAAGCAAAGAAAACAAGTAAGAGAGAGAGAGAGAGAGAGATGCCAGTACATCAGACTAGCAATGACGATTACTTCCATCATGACGAACAAAAGCAACAGCGATATTTCCCTTCGATCCCCTGCTAACAGTCGCAAACCTTTGGTGGTTTCGTGGAAGCCACCAAACTACAAAAAAAAAGAGCGATCTAAAAATTTGCTTCCTGGAGTTGAACCACCTTTTGCATATCTTTCTCCTTGGAGTTGTAGAACAGAACCAGCCAGTCGTTCTTGGCCTTGTCATCTGGGAAGTGTTCCTCGCACAGGGGCACCACTGCGTCCTTGACCCGGCTCTTGAAGCTGCCCACCTCGGCGCCCGGCGCCGGTGTGGCGCTCCCCAAATAGGCACCAACATCGGTGGTTGTACGTGGGGTATACCGGGTACAACCCCCCGCAAAAAACAACTATCCGTATGTAAGGCCTAAAGGTGGGGTATGTCCACTTGGCGTGGGTATGTTGGCCCTTGGATAATGTCAGTGCGCAAATGGTAGACTCCCTCGATTAGAGGGTTCTCCGTTTCCACGCAATACTAAAGTCAAGGGCCAACACGGGCCAACAAGGTTTGTCGAAAAAACCCCTACCCAATCATTCTTTGGGCCTTCTCAGAAGGGGAGCCAGGGGTCTTTGCTTCAATGTTGCTCAACCCAGAAGTCGAGTGCCGGAACCCCCAAGTGGCGGATTGCAGAGCAGCCATCAAGTAAGCTTATGTCATAGGGATCAAGCCATCACCCAAACCACAGAAAGGCCATCTCCATCACATGCAAAGCCTGGTAAAATGGTGCGCCCACGGCCGCACCTCTTTGTGGTTGGATTTTTCCCTTTGCCTTCTATCTATGGTTTCGGTGGCCCGCAACTCTGAGCCGAGCCACCGCGCACTTGGCGCTGCCGCCCTTGGTGCCCCGGTTCTTCGCCAAATTGGAGATCCACTCCTTGATGGGCTCGGTTTCCCTTGGCCCATTGTAGGACTTGCCCTTGCCATTCACAATGGCCTGGCCGCTAAAGCGGGCCTGTGAGAAGACTGATAAGACCCCCCTTTTGGAAACCTGGCAGACTCTCACTTCCTAAGTGCACGGGCAAAAACAAGTCCAAACTAAGATGGTCATCCCACAAAGTTTGAAGTCCAGAACTCAAGTGAGGACTGGACCCTTTGAGCTCATAGAAGCCGAAATGGATCCTTTTGGTCAAACGCTGAAGTTGGAGTCCCAACAAACCTCCCCGTTCTGCCTTGAGGGCAGGGAATCCACTGACCCCAAACTTGGAGCAGGTGGCGCGGTCGATGTCACAATCGATGGCACCGATTCCGATGTTCTTGTCATTCTTCAGGAGCTTCCCCACCTCCTTGAACCTGAAGATATGTTCCCCATCTCTAGGCTGTTCACGCTAAAAAAACACGTGGGGGGTCATTGCTCAAATGCAGGGATACGCGCCATTAGTTTGTGCTTGCTTGCAGCCTTCTGGTTTCAGCGATTATGATAAAGCGCTTTAGCGAATTTCATGAAATGGTTGGCATATTCTAAGTTGAGAAAAGCAGAAAGAAACCATGCTGGACTTGAACCGAGCAGTATGAACTGCCCAGCCACGCTTATTCCAGGCAATGAAGACAGGAGTTTGGTAGACGAGCCAATACGATCCATGCCCGTGAGGACGGATCAAGATGGGTGGGCTCAAAAGCCTGGCTGCGGTTATTGCTCTTGCAGAAAGTACATGTGTAGACACATATTTGTGTATATTACAATTATATGAGTATGTATGCGTGTATATATATATATATATGATAATACATATATATATATATATATACACATGTACAGAATACCACGTGTATGTGCTCCTCCTCTTGTAATCATTTTAGGCGATCATTCAGCTGATCTTAAACGCGGCACCCCCGAAAGAACCGCGGCCGGGAGGCTTGGGCTCTAGGGCCCGGCAGTGTCCACACCAGGTGGTGTAGAAGACCACCATCCAAACCCGCGTCGACTTTGCGTCCGGCCAGTGGTCTTGGCACAAGTTCACCACCGGCGCCGCATAGCTCCCCTTGCACTTCTTGGAGCCGCCTGTAGAGGACTCCGACAAAATCGGCAGAAGCAGCAGCAGTAAGCTCCGCCACATGGCGGAGCTTCAGCGCGCCGCTTGGCGCCTTTTGGGCCACACTTGAGCTCTGGCAGCTCGTCAAGAAAAGCTTGGGAAAATGCCGCCTCTTCCGATTGAGCAAAATATACACCTGGAGCAAGGTGCATGCAAGCACGATTCAGGCTGAAGATGATCACACCAGCCATTGATCACAAGAGGGATCTGTCGGGTGGTTGAACTTTGTAGATGCCCATTGTATAGTGCTTCAAAATGCTTCAAACGTCCATGCTTCCATGCATAAGCCCAAGAAAACAATCATCTGCCGCTTGCCAAGGGAGCCGTTGCTTTCTTCGCGTGGCATCATTAAGCAACATATGGAATGGACATGGCTTCTTTTGCGACGTAGGAATCAAAGTGCCGTAGCGGTCTAAAAACTTGTCCATGCGTATCTCCATCACCTAGGAGCTTGACAATACTCGTTGCCGAAAAGAACGACGCCGCCCACCCAAAGTGGGGTCGGATTGAAACAACTCCGTCCAGGCAGCTGGACATCGAACCCTCGCTTGGACAAATCAGCTCTCCTTTCTCAGCTTAGCCCGAGAGTAATTACATTTGGGGCTGCGACTTGGCTAGCCCTGAGCTGAAATCAGTTGTAGCGAGGCGAAACATTGCCTTTTTCAACCTGTGAAGCTAATTTGATCAGCACTGTGGGGCATGGGAACAGTTTGGTGGTTGATTTCCATAGGGAAGAAACCGGCAAACCGTTATGACCAAGGTGCAACTAAAATGACTTAAGGAGCCAAGAAAAAAAAGGGGGCACCAAGGAAGCACCCAGGAATCTCATAACGAAAAGGGGCGCATCGAAGATAAGGGTTCCAGAACCCATGCAACCATGTTCATTCAACCAATTGCTACCATCGTCAATCAACCATCAACCAAGATTTGGGTTGAAAAGGTCCATGTTCAATGCCATATCAATCGCTACCCATACCACAACATAAATTGGGAGCCTCGCGCCACTGGCGGCAAGGTTTTTTGTGGCCGGATTCATGGCAGCTGTGGGCTAAGCCCGTAAGCCCTCAAGGCCTTCATGCCTGATTTCGAGCTTATTTTTTGGCTCCTCCCCATGATAGATGTTCTGGAGCCGAGCTCCCAAGAAACTTGAAGCGAGTGTGCCCGAAAAGAACGTCTCAACTCCCAACTTGAACAACTTGGGGAGTGGACGTCCAACGTGGCCGGGCGAAACCACACAGCGATCATGGAGGCTTGACTCCTCCCTGGGTCGATTTGTTTCTTTAAGCCTGACAAAACCCTCTCGACGCAGAAAACTGTACAACGATCTCAAGACACTGAAGAGTGCTCTCGCGCACTTCATACAAGTCACCCCAAAGTCTTCAACTGACTCAGTCTACAGACATTTGTTTGCTTAAGCTGAGAATTGTTTTCAAGCCTCAGCTTGCCGTGGTTCTTGTAGAGGGTAGATGGGGGTTCAGCAAGCACGCTTCACAACAGCTTACCATACAAAACCCGCCCTGGGCCAGAGGGGGTTCACCCCTCCATTTCACCAAACCGAATCGGCTCCGGCTCAGCGGTGAGGTCCCCACGGCCGCTCCAAGCGTCGGAGCTTCTCTTGCAGGCCCTGGCCAACGGGAGTTCAAATCCCCGGGGCGTGTTCTTAAACAAAGGGCGCACCCCAAACGCCTCGGTTTTCCGTGTTGGTTCCCCTTAAAAAGAAAAAACACAGAGAGTACCCTTCAACACAAACCCGAATCCCCAGATAGGATATGTAGGTTCCGGTGGAAATGAAATTTCGTGAGCTTAAAGTGTTGCTAATGCGCTTGGCTTGATCGAACAAACGTCTTGAGTATGTCAGCAAACAAAAACTTGCAAAGGGAGCCACAGCTCACATGCTAGCGAGTGAGGAATATGGACTTGCATGACCCTTCTTGGACTTGTTTTGATCATAGCAGTGTTGCATGCATCAGGTCAAAAACAGTTGCTCGTGTTGAACGGTCACCGAAGGCTAGGACTCTTCACCCACGTCCCTCCAGACACGCATAGAGACTTGAAAAGATGTGTCGCAAACAAACAGTTTATGGGAACTGGTTTGCTCGCAACAACTCACCTCACACAAGTGGTCTGCATGGCAGAGCACTTCATCACCAGGGCTAGAATCAGGGCATTCCCTAAGAAACAATGATACATCAAACACAAGCATCGCATGAACTTCCCGAAAAGACGTTCTCCAAAGAAAGAGCTTCGAGATTCCTCTTGCTGGGTGTGTCTTTACATAGGGGGAGCCAAAAAAAACTGGGATTCCATGGTTCCCTTCAAAACAACCTCAAACATGTTGCCTCAACAGCACCCAGTGCTCGGGCTGTATTCGCATCCGTCGCAAACATTATCTCAGAATCGAAGCAGCTGCAGCCGCGCGTTCTTTGAGAAAAACAACAGCTGTTGTTGTTCTTCTTTTGCTTTTTCCGGATTTGGACCCCAAACGGTGTTCCTATTTCAGCCCACCAAAAAGATTTTGACAACCCCAGTTCCCAAGGGCTCTGACCTTGGAAAAACTGAACTTGGGGGGCTCAATCCGATCCGTCCTCGATGATCCGCGCGGCATCGCAAACTGAGAAGCTGCGGTCCTGACCGGCCGAAAAGGGATCCTACTCCGGGATGAGCATGAAAACCCCGCAAAAAACGCCAACCATTTTGTGGAGGAAGCTCGGTTTGGGACATGCACCCATTTTGGGGTTCCATGTTTTGTCGTAAGTAGATTTTGTCTGGCTTCCAAACTTGATTATGGGATTGTCTCAAAAGGAAGGGACTCCCAAATGGAAATTGTCTTTCAAAAGCAATCAAAAACGGGCTCCCGGGTTCCCCGCAAAAGAGTAAACGGCTGCATGGTTCAATACTGATACCAGCTGACAGCGCCAATGAACTCGTGAATCTGCAAATTCAGTTCTCCACACAAAAGCAACATATGAAGGATCTTGCTTGATCCATCGCAAAAGCCTTGATAAGCCCTGCAGCAGAAGGCCAGTGAGTGCCCAAAATGTCCCTCAATGGATCCTTCCAGAATATCAGTTCCAAGAGGGCCGTCTCATGCAATGCTCCATTTGGTGCGTACAAGGCCAAGGGCGATTCAAGTGGCTGAGTCTCCATCACATGTCATGGGTGCCCCAGCCTTCACAGCCACGCTGCAGTCAAACTAGTCTGGCCATTCGGCCATGCGTTTCAATGGGGAATTCCCTCAAACATACTTGGTGGACGTACATCCCAACGTTCATGATGTCCACCAACAGGTTCACGAATAAAACTCGATGGGGGAAAAACAAATGGCAAAGCATTTCGTTTCGTCGTTGCTTGGCTGGAAGAAAGTGACTCTGCGGCGCTTGCCTCATTGCTCCTGGCCGAGTCCAAGCCAGATGGGATGAAGTTGTCGACCTCAGACCAAAGCACGAGTCCACTACCCTCCCACCAATTAGTACGGAACCTGACGTTCGGGGGGTCCTGAAAGACAATTGTCCTTTTAACAGCACCCCCTGGCAGGTTCCATGTTAATCGGTGAGAGGGTATGTTCCTTTGGGCAAGGGCCACCAACTCACCGAACCTTTGCGACCTGCATCGAGCTATGTCTGAGTTGTTGGCTCGGGCAACCCCACTGGAAAAACCGTTGTGCGTGCGCGCGGTTTGTCGGATCTGTGCGTGCGTTAAATCCTTCAGATGGGAAGAGAGGGATGATCCTCTCCCTATGGCACACTTGCACTGTCTATGCTTCACCTCGTGTCAAAGTGTCTCTCCCAAACCGGGTGGGCATGATGCTACTTTTCCTCTGACCTCAACCGCGGCTGGTCCAACAGGGCTTCCTATATTTCCCCCTTAAGCATCAATCCGCCCAAAGGAAACTCACTTGCTTGGCCCAAAGAGTGACGTATAAAACCACCAAAAGGGGGTTCCGGGTTTCCCCCCTTTTTGTTGTTATTTTCAAGGGAAATCAAAAGGAGCTCCACCCCTGAAAAGGGCCCTCCCAATACCGAGGAGCCCATACCCCAGATCAGGTTCAGGCACTGCGCGCTTTGGTGGCGAAGCGGAGCGAAGTCAAAGACCTGAGAGGGAACTCCCTCCCAAACGGGTGGACATAAATCCAACCACCGATTTTTGATGCCTTGTGCAAGGGTCCACAATGGGTTGCCACTGAAAATACAAAAATCCCCAGCGTCCCCTTCCTTTCCCATACATCCCCACCTTCTTTGTTAAAAATCATACCAAAATAGCCAGCCTCCTTTTGCCCTGGAAGACCAGCGGCTGTTCCAATCAAAGCCGGGTCCCGAGTTGGAGAGAAGCCCACAGCTCAAGGAAAGGTAAGTCGAAAGTGCATGCACGCCACATGTGGGTCTGGTTGTCTTTTTTTTTCCGGGGGACCCCCAAAACTGGCTTGATTCGGCTTACCTTTGGCTTCTCTTTCAAAAACAAAGGCGTACCCTGAAACAAAGCACTGGTTTGGTTTGGCGGCTTGGAGGTTCAGGGGGTAGTTTCCCCATTTGGCTTCAAAGGAGCTGAGCATTGTGTACGGTCCTCTGCTTGGTGGCCAGAATAAAATCTTAGGAATCTTGTTACCAGTAGGTCATTTTTGCTGGGTCAGAATATTATGTCGCAGTTGCGTGCTGGATTGAGGATTTGTAGTCACAAGGGATATGCTGTGCGGATGGGGCTCTGCAGAAAGCAATCCTATCAGGCCGTGAAATGATCCATGGATACTTGATTTACACTGCACAACTCCGGGAGTGGGGCTGGTCGAAGAAGGCTTCTTTCCAGAAGCGGTCACCGTACATATTGCACGATTCCGGAAGATGGGTTCATTGGGAGGCTCTCGTTGCGCACATGAGTCTGTGTCAAATGACGGGGACTTCCAAAAGAGTGGTGTTTGGTTTGACTTTGAACCACCCAACTCGGTACCCTGAACAAAACATACAAAGCACAGACCCACATGAAGGCGCTATGCGCAGGTTTTTAAGCATTGATGTGATCAGTTGGAAAACGAACCTCAAAGAGCTCGATTGCAATGCTTTAGTACGCAGCCTGCATTGTTGGGTCAATGTACTTGTAGGTTTTGTTGTTTTCATAATGGTAGCTTCTATAGCTTGGGATTATGAATTCCAACTATGCTACTGCTGGCTAGTGTATCTTCAACACCAGCCCTTAAGCCCGCCAAAAAGTATGCACTCCTGGTTCAAGTATGCCAACTTGTGAACTCATGAGGCCTCAGGTCTCATCGCTTCCCTCTGAACAGGAGGCCTCCCGTGCCGACACAGTGTTCCTGTTCCCAATGCTTCGGCATCCGGACTGCTCGGCAAAGCTTGGCGAGGGATGGACCGTCACCTGAGCGACAGGCAGCGGTGCTGTCAGAATGTGTAGCTGTTGTAAATGGTAGGCCTGAGACAAGTCCAGAAAGTCAAAGTACGAAACACAAACACAAACACAGTCAAAAACGAACACACACACACACACACAAACAAACAACAAAACACAGCCCCGAAGACATAATTCCACACACACCCACACACGCTGCAGTCGCCACCAGGTGACTTGAGGTATCTGGTTCAGATTGGCGACTCGGCAAGAAGTGGCCATGGGTCAAAATCCCGTACCCCAGTGATCATCCCAATCCCCACTAAAATAGACTAAAATTGGGTGGTTCACCTACCATTGGTTTTCCGCTCATGTTGCCAGCTTGGCTGGCGGCCTTCCTGAAAGGCTTGTCAAGTGCAAGGGCTCTGAGCTTCGTTGCTGAGCCATGGACAGTCCTGTGTTGAAGGATATCCATTTTGGGAGTTGAACAACTTACGCGCAGGTGAAATCCCCAACAGCCCCGAAACACCTGGAATGAAAGCTGCCCCAAACCACCCCAGAGCACGAAAGCTTCCAGCTGTTGAGGAAAAAAGACCCCCCCTCCATTTTGAACACACCACTGATGAGACAAACCCATGTACGACTCCTGAGTCAACCCGGCCAGCAGCAGCGTCAAAGCATCGCCGCCCAGGGAGGAGCGGAGAACCTTAGGACTTAGCACTGCGCGGGGCACCAACCCCCTGGGGTCACTGGATTTCCCCTTAAGTTGATCAATCTACTGGTGCTTTCCCCTTGAGATCGCCACTTTTGGAGGCTCCAAAAACGGAACGGAGGCAAATGTTGCCTGTCCAAACATGTCGAAGTGTTGCTCAGGCAACTGGCATTGGCTTTCCTTAGTTCATCCTGTGCCCAGTCGAAGCTCACGGCCTCCTTCGAAGGCCGTCCAGCGTGCACGCAGCATGACTTCTGGAAAACAGTGCAAAGGAGGGACCCTCTTCTGGGATGGTTGTGATGGGATACACGGAAAACGCAACGCCAGTGGGGGCCCCAGAGTTTGATCCATAAATCCCAAACCTTCAAGAGTCCCCTCGTAACGGGCAGTTCCATCCTTGATCCTGCAAAATTTCCTGCCAACAATACTTTCTCCAAAAAATATTCTAGAGAAGATAGCAATTGTAGCTACAAAAGAAAGAACCAAATGAACATGTGCTACAGCACAGTAATTACTTCTCATGTAATCCTAAATCCACTGCAGCAGTTCCCAGCTTATTCCGGTTAACCCACCTATACCAAACATGATTAAAAAGCGGAGAAAGAAAACTGAAGTAATTCTAAGGTGCAACAAAGGATGGATTGGGAAGATATTTTAAACATATTTTAAGATTGTAACTCCTGTAAAGTAAGCTCCGGTAGCACTTTCTAAACCAGCAGTATATGGTTGATGTCCCCATACAAGACTTCCACGAAGAGAAATAGATGACATGACTCACATGACAAAGATCCTTGATCGCTTGGCAAATAGTATTAACTGTGACATCCTAGAAATTACTTTTGAAATCATCCCAAATGCAGGAAATATTCGGATGTAAACTGAAGTGTGTTGTGTTGTTGCTGTTGTCTTGCAAGCAATCTCAGATTGGCCCCTCCCTTTGAAAACACGATATTGTGGCAAATATTAATCGTGAGGACCAGCTATAAGAACACACCCAGTATCATGACGATAGTCGGGTTGCCCACGCACGTGAGCTCAAACGAAGAGAACTGTTGGCAGGCGTAGGCGCGAGAAGTGTATTTGGGCTTCACTCACGAGGAATCAGACAGGCAACAATGTGCCTAGTCCAGGAACCACCCTCCCTCCAACAATCATGGAAGCTGACAAGAGGGTTTGGGACGACAACTTTGCCTTTGAGGGGTCCCCTGCTGTCCACTTCCACGATTGTCGGAACGAGGCTAAGAAGTTTCCTGTCAAAGCTGGCTCGGCACCTGATCTCGAGGTTCCCAACTTGGTACCCTGTATTTTCTTGGTTTTAAAGGGAAAACAAGCGCAAAATCCTGAAACCCCTTTTGGAGGGTCCACCAAAAAACAGCACCCCCAATTGGCACGGAGTCGCCCCCTTTCCTTTTGCCCCTACTGGGCTGCAGGCCCTGGTAAGCTTGGAGTCTCCTTGGCTGCATACCGGCGGCTTTAGGCGGTCCAAAATTGATCCTTGAAAGGAAACCACAAGGAAAACCACCCATTTTGAGGGTTCCCCCCGCAAAAAAAAAAAAACGACCCAACCGTCACTTGCTGTGATTCGCAGCCTCTGGCGTTCAGCAGCTACTACATGCTAGATGGCCAGAGGCCACAGTCTCCCTTTGCAAACAAAATGGCATCAATAGATGGCTAGGTACAGTACCCAATTTGGAACCCCGCGTAACTGGAATCATGAACTAAAACCTGCGGTCAACTGGTGGTTTAATTTTGACCCAACCCCCCACATGAACGTTAATGTCCTTAGCAATTGAACTTGCACCCACGCTCCAAATGAACAACACCCAGCCCTCGACCAAAGTCAATTTGCCCCAGTGGCCCAATCCATGGCCAGCTTGTCGCTTATGAAGGCTGATGTGCAGCTGCCCCCTTCTAAGACAAGAAAGTGGGCTGAACAAACAGCAAACGACCACGCTCAGTCTTCAAATCCTGCACATAACGTCCATTGCGCTTTGTGATGTTTCACGTGGCAAAACAAGCGGCTACAGCCTTTCACAGCTTCAGCTGAGTCAGGATGCACTCTGTCTGTGTGAGACTGGTACTCAACGCCACGCACTTGTCGAAAACTATGGTACGCCGACCTGACCTCTTGAAAACGTAGGCTCTAAATGAGAGACTGGCCCTATACATGTGTGTATAATATATATATATATTAGATACATCATACATATACTCAAAATCATACAGCAAATATTCACATATTACTATAATGCGATCGAATATCCATGCATTTTGTTTCGCCAGTGGGTCGCGACAGCCCGGGACTGAGGGGGTGTATCTCAGCTTCGCCTTGAACTAACCCATCCCCCAGCCGAGCTAGGGGCAGCAACATCGTAATTTACATTTTGGAAACATAGCTGCTGGACATGGCTGATTTTGATGGACGCTTAACGCGCTTGAGGATTGCAGAAGCTCAACACAATTTATGACCTGCAGGTCAAGCACAGGTATGCACAGGGGTCCTTCTTGGAAAAATCGATGGCACTGGAAGATGCAATAAAAACAATCTAAATCAGGGCCATCTATGTCAAACCAAACTAACCTAAACAGTACACCTATGACCATGCAGCTGGCATTCCGACTGGTCAAGGCAAAGGTCATGTTGGAACGCTTGCTGCCGGCGATGCTCGGTAAGGAATGAAGTCTGCGTTCTTCTCTCGGCGGGGCCTCAGCACAAGAAGTTTGGAGGTCCAAGCAAGACTCAGTTTAACTCAATGGCTGAACACATGTGCGAGGATCTTCCCGGGGTTGATCATGAATACAAAGGGCTTGTCTGTTGTCTTCTTCTCAACCAGAATCTGAATGTTGCCAGCGCCCATACATTGATGTCGTTGGCCAACACGATAATGTGTGTTGGCCCTTCAAAATATTCGGCTGTATTTTGGTTCTGGGAAGCTTGGCATTTGAGAGCTTGTGTTGCCAAAGATGTGCTTTCTGCCGATGGAACAAATATGAACACGACAAACAAGCACCACCAATCCAATCCGACAGTGAAGGGGGAGTGACCATAGGTGTCCTTTTTCGTTGGCTCGGCGCAACATGGATGGCCGTGGCTTACCTGGTGGTCCAATCATCTACCAGGGCCATCTATGTTCGACCAAGCAAAAAGGACACCTGGACCTGTAGGAGTGAAGTGCAACATCACCCAGCCCCGCCCTGCAATGCATCACTCGTTTTGATGGGATTTTTTTGGCGAGCAGAACCTTGACCCCAGCAACACATGGGAGCGCTCGGGGCGAAAAATGCAGCTAAGGCTAAAGCTTTAACGGTACATGCTGTGCACACAGGTGACCTATTGCAAAGCATACACATGCACGTGCCATTCACTCGCGGAACAACTTGTGAATCCCTTGCTGGTGGGCACCCATAGCCGCAAACTGGTGCATGCCCTCTGCGCCGGTTGGTGCTTCACGTTGCCTAGCTAAAACACATGAACTGAGTCAAAGCACAGAAGTTCAAGGAAACGGCTCCAGGCAAATCAAACCAAGTTAGACTCCTGCATTCGGCAAATCAAACCAACCTAGACTCGACCACTGAATTCTCGGCCATCTGCAGCGCATGCTTGGCATCCCGGACGGCGTCCTCGCGTCTCGAAGCCTCGCACCTCGGCTCGCTGGGCAAATGCTGAACGCACCAGGCGTCTCGTTCTCCTTTGGTAAGATGGGATCCTCAGTCTGCTGATGCCTGATTGTTTAGTCGTGTTCCTATCATCTGTTCCAGCACGGTTCCTTACAGCTTTGCACAGGTACGTGCTCATGACATATTGCATCGAATCGAGCTCATAAGTTAGCGAGGCATCGCTCGCCGTCAGAATGCGCAAGTGCCCGAAAGGAAATAAAAGTAATTGGTGGTGGATGGGTCTGTGCTTGGAAAGGGTTCGGATTTAGTCAAGGGCAGAAGTGAAATCGCATCCTCTCGTAATCAAGGGCATGACGCGAACCAACCAACCAATGAAACCAACCCAAAGCAACCCAAACCAAACACACCCAAACCAAACCAAACTAAACCAACCCAACCAGCGGTCCTCTAGGTTTGTGCTACCAAACCGAGCGGGTGCCAGGCAAACAAAACTCAAAAAGAATGGAACTCTGTGCAGTGTGCGATGGCGCGGCGCTCTGGTCTCTGGGTCCTCCACAAAATTATGAATCTGGCTCAGGCTAAGGCCATCCCAAAACAAAATGGACATTACCCACCATTCATCCTCCCATCCGAGCAGCTGTACTTGTCGGCCACGCTTGTTCTGCAAGGTGTCTGGAAGAACACATTCTAAACATCACCATCTCCAAAAAGATCCAAAGCGGCTTGAAATGGGTTCCGAATAGCCGCACCTCGTTCAGGGCCCCTGCTGTGCCGAGGCGTGCTTATGCCGGAGTTCGGGGCAGAGTCCTGTCTGACGCGCCAGCAAGACAATGACCAAGCTGTCTAGTTTGATGTTTGCATCCATTTTGATATTTGCCCTTGCTTGGTGGTTGAATTTCACTTTGTTTGGTGTCTTGACCTGATGGCCCATAGGCTTGAAAATCAAAATGGGCAAGTGGCAATTTGCCAAACGTCTCAATACAAGTGGGCAAACAAGGGCTCTTGAGCTGAATTGTTCATTGAACCCCCGTTGCTTGCTTACAGGCCAATGATATAAACTGATCCACATTGCTCATCACATGCACTTCGGGCCCGGAGCCGGGAGATTGTTGCGTGTCATTGGCTTGGTCATCACTTACATCGTGCCCATGTTGGTGTGTTGCTGGAGCTAGGAGTGCTAGTCGGCCGCAGTTTCTTTTGAACACGCAACGCAATCAAGCGCATTGGTATCATGCAAGAGGCATTCCTTCGAAGTCCGGAGCCTTTGGTCTGCCCAGCTTCTCTAAACGAAACAAACAAAAGCGTAGCCCTGCAACATCAAGGTTTGTAGCCCAGCCCACAACAGCATTGCATCAAATTGAAAAAGAGTTTCAGAGACAGATACGCCAGCGTAGCATGTGTCATTCCAAGGAACAGGATTGATTGTAGTAACGTCCAAAGCAAACGGGCAAAAAACATTCAGGGCAAAGCAGCACGTCTCCTGCCGCCTTCGTGTGTCAGACAGCGATCGCTGCGACAAACCTGGGCACAATGAACTTGCATCCCCAGGTTGCTTGAACTCCAAGTGAAAGCATGACACCATGTGACGCTGCTCTTGACAGCATGCCGCTTGACCCATCTTACAAATAATTGCGACGGCGTGGTACAGGGAAAGCTTACTACCTGCAGGGGCTTTGGTTGACCCCAAACCAAGAAAAGGAAAGAGGGCTGATCGAAGACATTGGCAGGAAGCACATTCACGTCCGCAAAGGGGCCAAACAAAACTCAATGAATCAAGCTTATATAGATCACTGGGCTTCTTATCAAAATGCTGGAGGTTGAAACAAGCCTGAGAAATGAACAACGTGACAAGGGGCAAATGGCCTGTTCTGTGGCTGCTTGCACCACAAAGGCTTGTTCGTCCTATGGAATCGCCGATTGTGTTTGGTTTGCCCGTTTGGGCCCCGGACCATCGCGGCGGCCATCCTTGCACAAGCGGGAGATGACCTGCGCATAGCAGTGAAACAGTTTGCGCAACAGGCGTCAAACCTTGATCAGTTCTCATCCACGACACAATATTCGATTCTCTGGGGCGCCCTCGACACTATCGCCATTGCACTTGTTGCAGGTAGTTTGTGCCATATTTTGTTGCAGTGCTGTTTTCATTTGGGCCGGCGCGCATCATCTCAGATGATGGAGGTTTGGGGATCCTTTCCCTCCGTTCCGCCAACCAGTCCTATATTAGTATGGAGTGGAAGAATGATAAGCAAGCTGGTTGAATTCTGCTTGCACATAACATGCAGCAGGTGGCATGTTTCGCGGCCAGCTGGCCACCGGGCCAAAAGGGCTTGCGATTGCGTTGGCCCTAGCGGATGCTCCGGATCCAACCTTTGCTGGTGGCTGTTTAATGCGAGCCAGCACCATAGAAATCAACATGCGTGATTGTCACTGGCCATGTCGCCCCAACAAACTTGATGGATTCATCTAACATCCTCTGCATCTCATCCTCCCATCTCTCCCACATCACTTCGGCAGCCTCTCCCAGGAAGAAGAGGCTCCGATTGATGTGCCGTCCGTCCTCATGTGCAACCAGGCGGCGCCCCTCAAACGAGCTGGTGGCAATTTGACTTAGGGGATATGGGAGTGTCTTATGGTTTGAAAAGGAAGACCGAGGCCATTTTTGAGGGCTCCAACCTTAACATGAAAACGGTCTCCATCGGCTCTTGACAACCAACTCCAAACATGAGGACAGCATCGCAGAGGTCCGCACAAACACGAAAAAATGCAACAAAGCATAAACCCACACGGGCAAGGCATCTTGGCTTGCTTGAGTACGCTCAGTGATTGATCATCAATTCAGGCTCTGCCGCTGATCTCTGCAGTTGCACACTGCCAAGAAAACAAAGGAAGCAACGTTTTCTGTTCACATGCCACAAGATCGTGAGCTGACAAAAAACAAAATGCCAAATTTGGCTCTGAGGGATGCTTGATGGCGCACATCCCAGGTCAGCACGCCCCACAAAATGGCAGACGTCTGACTCGTGTCACTCGAACTCCCGGAGCAGCCGGTCGTCCTCAGACGCCTCGTGCTTGTGATTCTCGCAGCCTGAAGCCGAGAGCTGTGCGCACCTTTCTGGACAACTGGCGACTTGTTTTTGGCAAACCAGTCTTAAGGAATCCTCTGGGGACCTTCATTCCGGGTGGCCTCGTTGTACCCCCAGCTCAAAAACAAAAGCAAATCGTGATCTTGGAGCCGGATATACGAGTCCTGATGAGCGGCCAGGGAGGATTCAGAACCCAGGGAGCGTGGCTGGGCTGTCCTCAGATGTGCTAAAAGTTTAGCTTTTAATGGCTTGAATGGAAAACTACCCACTACCCTAAGCTAAAAAGATCTAAAAAGCTAAGGAACCGGATGGCTGGGAGCCCAGGTGAGCTGTTGCTTGCGCCTTCCAGTGGTCAATACGTTGAGCGCAATTCGAGTCAAAACAATCCTAGGATGCTGTTCCTTCCAAAGGGTGCGTTAAATCTGATCAGGGCATGAGGTCTGTTGAATATTGGCCTAGCCGCAATTTGTGACCCAATAGTCAGAGAGAGAGGCTTCATGAAATCTGCGGTTTTGGCAGCTTTAAGGGCTCGACTAAAAGACGTAAAGTCACCAACCCCCAATGTTCAGTGCATCAAGTTCACAGCTCTGAACATATAAAGCATCACCTGCCACGGATCAAGCACATCAGAACAGCATTTCGGGTTTTGGATTATTTGGGACATGTCAAACTTTGACATGTCCCAAAGAATCCAAACCCCGAAAGAGAAGGTCTGCGCACCTGCAAGGTCTACGATGTTCAGCTTCGTGCGCCTGGTAGCCTGGCAAAGCTGAATTTGAGGTCTACAGGTCATGGTCAATCCTAGTGATCTAACATTTTTGTCTAGCAGAAACCAAGGAAACTACCCTCTAAGAAAACAAATGGCTGGCTGGCTACTTGGTATGCTGGCAACCGGTGCATCAATATTCAACCCAAGGCGAGCTGGGTGAAATCGTTGCAACCCCAGGAGTGATCCATCAGAACCTGTTGCAAGCTGAAAAACTGAACTCAAAGGTCCTGGGGGACTCCGATGAAATCAAAAGATGCGCCCCATCAAGGTGCAGCTAGATGGATCTGAGACCGCAGTAGCAAGGGCTTCACCAGCTCCCTGCAAAGCAAACCTTATGAATCATGATAGAAAGCCCATTCAAGTTAGTCGTCAATTTTCAAAGGTGGTCATATTTGCTAGTCAAAGTAGCATAACATGCGATGGTGCGAACGCCAACATAATCTGGATCGTACGGATTAATTGCTTGACGTCTTGGAGAGGACGGTTGGAACGGGATTCGAATTCATGTGGCGTCTCTGATTTAACCGTGCGAGTATGTGTGATGCACCGGTCAGCGAAAGGCCCAACTCATCTCAGTTATCCGATTTGCCATAAGGGTTCCAGGACAGGATGCCTTTATCAACAGTAGTGATTCACCGTCGAGATCGTTCACACTCCGGCTCTTCAACACTGGCCTGACTTTCAAATATCTGCCCAAACCAAACGCCTACCAACTCTCTGGACAAAGGGTTGCTCTTCATGGCCGTGGGTCAAAAGCCAAATCGTACCCAATCCCCACCAAAATAGGTTCTAAAATGGGTGAATTCACCAATCCCAACCAAAATGGGATCCCCTTGAACGGTTTTGACCACAGCCCGGCGATTTTGTGTCGATCCCTCGCCTCCCATGCCGAGCTTGCACCCTCGAAGCAAAGGCTGAAGATGGCATGGGAGCCTCGAGTCGCTTCTGTTCAACGCAGTGATGGGGGGAGTAGATCACTGGATGCAACTTGGATTTTGCTGAAGCAACTATTATCATTTCCGACGCAGAAACCAAAGCAAGTTGACCCCTTCAAGCTCTCCGGATCATCCGGGTCGGCAAACCGGTCGAATCTCAAGTCGTGTTCGCTTATATATCTTAGACATTTGAAAAAGGGCGCCTGCCTCACAATGCTCCATACCGTCAATACACCCAACAAGAACCAGAGCTGGGAAAGGAGCACAATCCAGAAGTTGAGGCCAATCCAGCAATGGCCAAGGCTTTGCGCCCGCCAGCCAAATTATTTTGACTTGCGTGGCAGGTGTTCGTCAATGTCTAGGCGCCGGTTACTTGCTAACCTCACTCGGCTCGGTTGTTTCAATTTCAATCACCCACGGCGTTCCGGTCGAAGCTCGGCTCTGCACGGCTACTGTAGTCGTTCCATCTGGTCCGTGCATAACGCCTGGTCAATCGCTGAGAAGGATTGCGAAAGTTCAAGCAACAGAATATTGAAATGACTCTTCAAAGCACCACATTGGTGCTACTGGTACCTTAATCGCGAAACGGTGCATCCTTTACGCCGCATAAGGATTAGTGCCAAAATGGGAGGATTGCCCAGCTCCACTGGGCAGCTCCCCTCAGCAGCTGATGGGAGTAGAATTGATGCCACTCCCACAGCGAGGGAGGAATCCTCCCACCTCACCGGATGCCCTCCCGGCATCATGGGTGAGGAAGGAAAGTAGCGAAGATCAGCTTGATCAATTCGCTTTCGACTGAGGGGAAGACCCGGTTCTCAGTCGGAAATTGCGGGTCCGGATGAGTAAGTTCATCCGCCCATGTGTTAAAGTCGCGCTTCACATGCGACGGTCCTAACATGACCTGGTGGTCATGCAGTGTTAACACAATTTCCATGAGGATGGCCGCATTGGGCATCCTGCGAGTGGAATCGTTAAGCAGGGAGAAAACGTTTCCCTGGTTATCACTAGCAACCAGAATCCTAGTGTGAGAAGCCGAGCCGGCTGCACAAAGCAGAACAGCCCTCACCAAAAGGAGGAGGCCGAAGAGCTCCAAGGCCGCTATCGCCCGCTGCGGGTCCCCAGTAGTGAAGGCCCACGGCTCGCCCTCCGGTGTGATTCTGTGTTGGAACCACTTCACTCGGGACTTGTCGGGGTTGGGCACGTCCGAGCACCAACCACCAACCCATGCATGGTCCGCCTGTTTGCCAGCTCCCGCATCAGATGCCCCCGTCCATGGAAGTGTGGGAGCAAATGGAGATGCCAGTGGGAACCTCTGGTTGAAGAGCTTCCCCAGAAGGATGGCCAGAGCACGAACCAGCTTCGGTGGCCTGCCCGAAGTGGTGCAGGCCTTCTTCCAGCTCCAAAAGGGCTGGAGGAAAGGTTTCGTCAATGGACACGCCGAAGTAGCCCATTGAATCCGGCCCAGGGCTTGTTCCACCTCCTTGCTGGTAAAGATGTCCCCCTGGGCCAGCCGTTTGAGAGTGGCCAGGATTATGACGTGCTTGACTGGAGCCAGCAGCACACAGGGCGTGATTGGGTCCACCACGAATCCCAACCAGGTATTGACCGGGGAGAGCGCCGTCTTCTTCCAAGAAAGCGGGACTCCCAGCGCCAGAAGAGTGGCCAGGATGGCTGTGGCGTCCCAGTCCGCCCTGCTGCATCTGAGGACCCAGCAGTAGTCGTCCACAAAACTAAGTGCCAGTCCACCTGAGGGAAGATGTAGTACAAGAGTCTGAGCACCAAGGATGCCTTTCTTCCCCAGTACAGTTGTGCCGAGGCCATGCCGTACGTGCCCACTCTATTGACCCACCACCGGTTCTGGATGCAGGCCACCTGGTATTTCCAGTCTTTCTGGAGCACTTTTATGCGCCTGTGGGCCTTGGTGACATCCGCCTTGAGGATGATGAAGGTTTCCCCCTGTGTCGGCGGCTGCCACGTCAGGGGTTCCCCCCTGCTCCCCCCAGGGCGTTCCGTGCCTGGGGGGGTTGGGGGGAATGGGGCCCTCCTATCAGGGCCCTCGGCACCTGGGAGTGGCCCCTTCCCTGAGGGTGTTGACCGCGGAGAGACGTCCAGGCCGCCGGAGGTCTCCATCATCCGCCTGCCCCTATCAGGGCCCTCGGCACCTGGGGGCAGGCTGGTGCTGTGGGGGTCCCTCTCAGGGCCCTCGGCACCTGGGGACTGCCCCTGCACCGGCTGGTGAACATCCCGAGGTTCCTCATCAGTGCCCGAGGATGGGGCTCGGAGTAGATGAGGATGGTCCGCCGCTGTCCTGAGCCAGTGGATGGCATGGAGGCAGTCTCCAACCATCGGTGCGGTGGTCTTCTCCTCCGTGTGAGCCTGGATGTGTGCGTTTGCTCCCCCTTTTGAGCCATCATAGATCGTCCTGATCTTGTCCGACTCATCAATCCCTGCAAGGGGGCCCGGGCAAAGTTCCTCCGGTTTGCAGCGGCACCTCTCTGCCGCCTCGGAGCGAGTGAAGGGCCCGTCCACCATGTCCAAGGCTCGTTCCTCGTAAAAGGTTGATTCGATTTCCTTGGCAAAGAGTTCAGCCGTTGGGTAGTTATCATGAGCCACTGGCGGGGGGGGATCTTCCCCCAGCCAGGCTTCTCCCTTAAGCTCCTCCTTAGTGGGCCAAACTCCCGGGGAGGTCAAGGTAGGGTCCGAGACTCCCAAGGGGACCCCCTCTTTCAGTGTTAGGGGGAACTCCCAATCAGGGTCACCTGAAAGGGATGCCAAGTGCGACACTAAGTCCAGGAGGAAGGGTTGTCCTGGGCATCGTTCATGGAGGTGCCTCGGTCCTAGGATAGCCCGCAGCTCCTCGAGGTCGGCTTCCTGGAAGGGGTGTGTGGTGGCACCTGATGCCAGGGACATTCGGACCTTGTCAATCCAGGGCCGGGTAAGGGTCATGATCAGGGCGCCCAAAGTAGCCAATGGGGAAATTCTCGGGGTTGAGCCTCCCTGAGGAAGGTTTTCCCCCCCATCCTCAGGGGGCGTGAGCGGAAACCCAATTGGACAATCGCCACCCGGTGAGGTGTGGGACCCTGAAAGCGGGCAGGCATTCGGGGCGGTCCAGGACCTGGTCCCCCTGTCCCTCCTTCCCCAGTTGTTCCGCATCTCCGGCCATCGGGGGCATGGGAGATGGGAAGTCTGGGTTCATTGTTCCACGAGACCTTACGGTGTCTGCCTCAGGGTGGAACTGCCCGGGGCTTCGGGGCGTTCTTGCCTCCGGGCTTTGAGCCCTGGTGTGATGAGGAGGGACCGCCTCCTTGACTGGGCCCCCGTTTTCCCCGGGAAAAATGGCCTTCCGGGGGGTCCGACCCCCGCCCCTTACGTGGTTCCTTGAGTTTCCCGGAAATTGTGAGGGGATCCGGATGTGCCCCGGCGCTGCGAGTGACACAGCGATGGCTTTGGCCAGGCCTGCCATCATATTTCAAGGGTATCTGCTAAGAGTCGAGGACTCGTTGGTGCCCACATGTGACTCCGCATTTGATCCCAGTCCTGGATCGGGACTTCTTGACCAGCTGGCCCAGGCGGCACTGGTCGAAGGAGATTGCTGTCAAGGAGTTCTCCTCCATCCAAAGCTGCCCCTCCTCTGTGATCCAGAAGGATGAGCATTCCTTGGCTTTGGGCAGCGAGCTGCTCACCACTGGGTCCTCCGGGTGTTCCAGGAAGGACCTGGGCCCTGGCAGAGAAACCGCCGCTCGTTGGTGAGGCCCTTGCCAGGCTGGTGATGTACATCTGTCATCATCAAGTTGAGTCTGGGCGGCCTGGTCCAGGTGTGGAAGGCCCCAAAGTGTCTCTGGAGTGCGCCCTCGCACCGGGGTGGGAGCCCCCGGTTTTGGTATGTGGCGCAGGATGGACCATGTCCTGCAGTTGGGTCCTCCTCCAATGAAGACCACTCGGCCCTGCTTTGCTGCCGTGCAAAGAGCTCCATACAGCTCGGGTTGGAGCATATCGTGGTCCCCTTTTGGTCCAGACCGTAGGATGTCTACCGCCACCACCATGCTGGAAAGGTGTGGGTAGTTGGCATGAAGACAGCTGTCCAAGGAAGTTGGGTCTTCCTTGCCTGCATAGAGCAGGACAATGATGGGCCCACTGGATGGAACTTTGGGCGATGTGCCCTGTGTCCATCTCAGCCGCTGTACCAGACGCTCAGGGATGTTCTCCATCCACGGGAAGATGTCCAATCCCGGTGACGGCTCCGTTGGACTTGTCAGGGGGGTAGCTGAAAGGCGTTGGCCCCCTTCATTCAGCCCCACCGAGCTCTTGTGGAAAACCACCGGGTCCTGCTTGATGATGTTGGGCGCCGGAAGTGGGATCGGCTGCTTCCTGGGAGTGTCCCTTGGCGTTGCGGTGTGCTGCCAGTCATCCGGCACTCGGGCCTTCTGGGTGCGGCAGGGCCGTCGGCACCTGCGGGGAACCGTCCCGTCCCCGCCATATCAGGCCCCTCGGCACCTGTGGCTCGGGACTGAGGCGCCGCCGTTGTGCCGGTTGTGTGGCTGTTCTGATCACGGCGAGGGCGTTGTGCACGCTGGTTCTGCCGTCCCCATCCTTGTTCCGCCGAGGATGGCCGCCACCTGGCCTGTCCCCCCCCTGTGTCAGGGCCCTCGGCACCTGCAGGAGGGGGCTTCTGTGCCTGCTTGGGGCGTTTGCGCCCCTTCTCGCCCCCCCGGGCCTTATCAGGGCCCTCGGCACCTGAGGCCTCCCGGGGGGTAGGGGTCAGCGCCCCTAGTCAACCCGGGCAGTCCTGCGGGAGGTGGTCCCCCAGGCAGATGCGGCCCATTGCCAGGATGAGGTTGCACTTGTGGGTGCGGCCGCAGTTGCCCGGGCAGCGCCCGCGCATCCAGTTGTTACAGAACTGGTTCCCTTTCGGGTCGGTGGCTGCCTGCTTGTTACCGCCCCGGCACGCCTGATTGTTCGGGTGGGGGGTCTTACCCTTCCCTTTGTTCCCAGGCTTGCCCTTGGACTTCCCCTTGCCCTTGGACTTGTTCTTGCCCTTCTGAGGTGGTGCGTGGTCCATGGATGTCCTGGTTGATGGGCGGCCCCTGGAAAAGGTCTTGATCTTCTCATAGACCTCACGTGTCCAGAACAATGTGTCCTGCCTGACCGACAGCATGGCCGCCTTGAGGGTGTTGCCCTCATGCATCTTCTCGTGAATCTTTCGCCATGCGTTGCGTTCGGCAATTGCCAGGACGTGGTCCTCTGACAAGAGAAAACGGCCCCCGATGTCCTCACCATAGAACCACTCGTACCAGCTCTCCAAGTCCTCCCGGGTGATGTCGAACTGGCCGAACTGCGGGAACGAGAGGACGCACATGAGGAGGGTGTTGCGGAACACCGCGTGCATCCTCTCGAGCTGGTGGCGAGTTTTGGGCTCGCCCCGCTCTTCCACCTCATCCTCCCGGTCCCAGCCATCAACCGTGCTCTTCTTAGTGGTCTTCCATGG